GTCAACGCCTCAGTCAGCATGTGGCCACCGGAGTTGCATCCCTTACCAACTTAAATGCACTCTCAAGGCTTCGTCAGGAGGAGCTGGACGCTGCATCGGTGCCCCACCTGCTGTGCGCATTTGGCTTCAATCAGCTTGCATTCGAGCGTCCTGGTCATTGATCATTGTTTGATGTGGGCAGATTGCCTTTCTTCGGGACAGCGCGACTGCAGAAGAGGCAAGCCTGATGCAGGCCTTACTGAGCTCCGTGTGCTGTACTTCTGTCAATGCTTCTTCTGCAACATCCCCAAGACCTCGCGCAATCCAAAGACGTGCCAGGGTGCACGAGAGCAGGGCGACAGTTACGCCTTTGCCTTCGAGTGCTTGTTGGGCCACCTTGCACTCAAGCTCCCGTGCGCGTGCTGAAGACAGAAGTGACGGTGTAGGACAGCGCAAAGAGCCTGCGGATTTTCTTTTCTCAGGTTTAGCTATTGGCGAATAGCTGCTAGCCGCGATTTGCAAGATGCTTTGGCAGCTATGATGAGGTTTTTACATCCCTTCCAGCCAGGTACCGGCTGCACCAAATTGTCTCTGAGTTTGGCTGGGCGCAACCTTTGGAGGGAACGTAGGCTGTGCCTGCTGAGATTCCTACGAAATCAGTCCAGTCATAGTCAAGGAAACATATCAGGCATGAAGTCCCATGATGGACCAAAGTTGCTGCAGGAAAGAACTTGATGCCTCTGTTCAGCGAGACAAATGCGCAACATAATGGTAGCGCTCTTTTCTGGAACTGTCAGAACTACTCGTTTTGCTTGGACCAGCACCCTTTAACTCGCATACACTGGATGATATCGGTCGAGGCGCTTTGCCAGGTATGGCAACTGTTCCCGAGCGGCAGCAAGTTGTCATCACGCTTTGTCGGATTCACGTGGCTGGGCTCGAGCAAAGTGAAATGAAATTTAGCCGTTCATATTGAAAAGCCTGGAAGATGGCAGAGTTAGACCCGGATGATGTGGACAGCATTACTGAGGGCACCTATGTCTACTGGATGGACGAAAGTGAGTCCATCCCCCGCGGCAGCCTTGGAGAGGTGCTTGAAGTGGACGGCGCGACGAGAAAGGTGAAGTTTCCCAATGAAATCACCAGCGTCGACGCGTCCAAGCTCCAGGCCTCAGACTTCCAGAAGAGCACTTTCGTCCACCTCGCGAAAAAAGGCGACGTGGGAGTTTTCTTAAAAAAGGGGGGCAACCCCCACATTCAGGTTAATCCTTAATCCCTAAAGAAGGCCTTCCTTTAAAAGGGGTCATGTTGGGGGCACCCTTATTTTCGGAAAGCCCACTTGGCGAGAGAAGGCGACATGGATGAAATCGGAGAAGTCAAGAAACTGATCTTGGACGAGGGGTCGCCTGGGAAGTTGTTGGTAAACTTCCATGGGGAGGACTACAAAGAGAAGCCCAAGAACTTGATCAAGTGCAGCCTTCAAGCTGGCATGTTTGTGTTTTGGTGCAAGACAGATGAAGACATCCCACAAGGCCATGCGGGTGAGGTGCTTCACGACTTAAACGAGAAAGGCAAGGTCAAGGTGGGAGTTTCCTAAATCAGGGGTGTCCCCCCCCCCCCCCCCCCCCCCGGCCCCCCGACAAAAAAAACTCCGCGTATAACCAAGGATAAACCCCAAACCTTAAGCCCTGAACCCTATTTCAACAACCTTAAATTAAGACCCTTTCAAAAACCTAGCTTTGGGGTCCCCTGTCGAAAGACCCAGCAACGTCAAGGTGCAGTTCCCCAACGGAAAATGGAAGTTCAGACCGCGGGATTTGGTCTTGTGCAATGTGCAGCCTGGCTCCTACGTGCGCTGGTCTGAAACTTCGTTGGGTGGGTATTTTTTTGAGCGTTTCGCAAAAACATTATGGAAACTTAAACGCTACCAAAGGCAAAACTTTTGGTTTTCTCCCTGGGGTACCCATCAGCTGAGGAAAGCGATGAAGACATTGAAGCTGGCGAGCTTGGAAAGGCAACAGGAGAAATCAACGACTCCGGCAAAGTGAAGGTGGCCTTTGCCAAAGGCACGTGGAGTTTCAAACCCGACACGTTGATCCCTTTCGACATCCAGCTGGGCGCCTTTGTGCGCTGGGACAATGAGGATGTGAAGAAGAAAGACCTGGGGCAGGTGGGGTCCTACTCTTTTCGGCAGAGCTTCCTAACATTTCCTAACAAAAGCAGCTAGGATGAAGATGTGAAGAAGAGGGACCTCGGCCAAAGTTGTGTTGTCGAAAAAAACAATAGACATTGGGCTGTTGTTGAATTTGATGGTAAACAAGAATTTAGACCTTGGGCAGGTGGTGGGGATCAAGGTGGCAGATGGCAGCTTGCGCGTGCAATTTCCTGCAGGGCGGTGGAAGTTCCGCCCGGAGGACCGAACCCCAAATCAGGCCCAAACCTACAACCCCAAAGCCTAAAGCCTCAAACCACAACCTTCAATCCTCACCCCTCGACCCTCTTGGATTTAGGCCCTGAGGAGTTGACTCTGTGCCGAATCCAACCTGGGCACCTCGTCACTTGGGTCCGGTGGGATGAGGACATTGGACGTGGGGATATCGGCGAAGTGGTCCGTTTGGATGACAACAAACTGTCCATTCAGTGGCCCCAACTGCACTGGAGCATGAGGACGGATGAAGTTGAGAAGTTCAGATTCCAGAAGGGGGATCGGGTGCAGTGGACCAAGTCTGATGATGACATACCACAAGGACACATGGGTTATGTTATGAGCGTCTACTACGACGAGGACGATTCTGGAAAGACCACTGGGAATCGACTCAACGTCAAGTGGCCCAACGGGAGATGGAACATGAAGCCTTATTCTTTGTTGCCCTTGAATTTCGATGTAGATGGAGCAAATCAATTGAAATTATCTTTCAAGCGCTTTGACAAGAATGGAGATGGCAAGCTTTCGGAGGAGGAGCTTGTGGGGGTCCTCAGTCACCTAGGTGGTGAAGGTGGAGCTGGTTTGGCCCCAGAAGAGTGCAAGCAGCTTTTCGAGGCCTTGGACCGTGATTCAAACGGAAAGCTCACCGTCGACGAGTTCCTCGACTATGTCTTCTCAGATGCAAGCGCTGCCGCACGGATGGTTCTGGCCGATGGTTTTAGCTTGGATGCATTCTTCGGCTTCCCAGAAGAAGGGCCAGACGTTGTAAGTGATGATGACGAGCCGAAGATGAAGAGTATGGCTTTTGAAGGCTTTGAGGAGATGAAAAGTTCAGTCCCCCCAGAGGCTGCTGGAGGCATCGACGGGGACACGGAGGTCTCGCGCACTGAGTGGGCAACTGCTATGTTGAACGTGGGTGTTCCTCGCGCGGCAGCGCTGACATGCTTTGACGAGGTTTTGCGGGAGCTTGGCGGGAACGGCAACTTAGTTGTTGGGTAGGTAGCTTTGCACCTCATGTTCGTTTAAACTTAGGTTTTGGAACCTAAAAAGATTAAAGCTTTGTCCCCTGCAAAGCCAAGTAAGGTGACGCGTTGCGGTTAAAGGATCTCGCGGGCGAGCTGAATGGTCTCGTCGGTGCTGCTGGCATTGAGGAGCTTCGCGCTCCCATCGGTCAGGTGAAGAATGGAGAGGTGCGTGTCATAGATCTCAACACGCCCTCTGAGGATGTGCGGCTCGAGCGTGACTTGGCCCAGAAGACCGGCATTGATGGGCTGATGTACCATCTCTTCTGTCACAATCAGTCTCTCAAGGACGCAGCAGCCCACCTTCCGGAGGCGATGCTTTCGGAGCTTGAGAGGAAAGTGCTCAGCGAGATGGGTGCGGGGCAGCTAGTCGAGAGAGTCCTATCTGCCTGGGAATGTTCCCACACGCTTAGCGCTGTGGCCTCTTGGCAGAGGGCACGTGAAAGTTGCAAGCGCGAAGTGCAAGAGATAATCAAGCAATGTAAAGCGCATGGTACTAAATTCACCGACGACTCCTTCAACCCTTTGAAGAACGAGAAGGAGGTACTCTATGTGGACAAGGAGCATCTATGTAGTCCTAAAGAGTTGTTTTCTCCGATGGGGGTCCCAACAGCCTGGAAGAGGGCCACGGACATTGTTGACGATCCTTATTTGGTTTCTGGAGCAGGTGCTAGCTCCACTAAGGTGGGAGCTTTCCCAGAACAACCCCCCCCCCCCCACTTCCCCCCCTTCCCCCAAGATTGCTCTAGAAGAGAAGGTCATTCGGATATTTTTCGGGGTGCCCAGGTCGTGCAGGGAAAGCTCCACAACAGCTTCTTCCTCAGCGCCTTGGCGGCTTTGGCCGGTCGGAAGTGCTTTCTGCGGCAGGCCGTGGTGGCCTATTATGATGTGGAGGTGGGTGTCCAGCTAAAAACCCGGGGGTCAGAAAGATAGCTTGTTTACAGGAGGCCCGATAGAAACCTGCATTTATTCAGGTTGATCCCTTTCAGCTTTCTTTGGTCTGATACCCCTCAGGTTGGCGTCTATGGGGTGATGTTCTGTGAGGAGATGCACTTCACGTATGTGATAGTGGATGACTACCTGGCCATGGCTTCAGC